ACTAAGGGGATGATAGACAGGGACAAATCCAATGTTCACCGCCCTCTGATCCCATAGTGAAAATGGCAATGAAAAGTCATCAGCAAATGTGGTTACCAATCTGGCTCAAAACAGCTACCATCTTGTAAGTGTATCTCTTTATGGTAAAAATCAATGCTCCGTAAGAGTAACAGATTTCAAAGAAAAATTTGTCTGGCTAACTGGTAATCTCTCACTCCCTGCCACCCCTTCCTCTCTGTCCTATACCATAAGTTGGGGTTACTCCAAACCCTCTTCAGGTAAAATCTTAGAATTCATAAATAGGTAGTTTTAAAAAAGACAGCTTGAACTGTTGAGAAAATCTGAAATATATTGTGTCTGCTTCTATCTGTAGTTAATTAACTTTAGATACAGGGTCACCAGAAAATCCAGTGACTATCACTGAGCAGAGAACAGTTACATTATGGCTTTAACTTTTGAAAAGATTGACACAGTTACTAAGCTCTGTCTATTCTCGCTTGATTTTTAGCTTTGATGCAGTTCAAATAGCAGTCATGGACCAAACCGTAGGCTCAGATCCTGATGTTCTTTGGAAAGTCACTTGAGTTCAGTGTGATATCATGGGCAGTAGATTGACAGTGTGGGTAGCCAGACTCCACAGTTAACCAGTTGTGACCATAGGAACTTCGACTAACAATTTTGTACTTCAGGATTTTTGTCCATAGATGGCTCAGTGAATTTCTGTACTTCTCATGCCCCTCTATTCAAAAATTCTTTAAAATAGCATCAGCCTATAGAGCTGAATTTTGATCCAGTCTGGGAAATACCCTGTGGGGCATTCAGTTGCGCACACGTTTACTATCTGCATATTACTTGGGGAGCTGTGGAAGGGACTATGGAATGGAGAAGGGAAATTTCACTGACTTGCTACTGCCTCTGAGACTTATAATATATACTCAGCCTTCCTAAATTAGCTTTTTAAACTCAATAATGGAAAAACAATTTTTCTATGGCTTAAATAATAGATCATAGTAAGAATCAAGCTTAAAATTACATATAAGTTGCAACTCCCCGTGAAACACATGGGATGGTTATCTTTAAAATAAAAACAATGCTATAAACTTTCCTTAACATTTTAAAAATATCTCCCATTATCTTAGTCCTCTTAGGCTGCTATAACAAAATACCACGGACTGGGTAACTTAAACCATTGGGTAAGATGTTTATTTTTTTATAGTTCTGGAAGCTTAGAAGTCCAAGATCAGGTTGTTGGCCGGTTTGGTTCTTGGAGAGAACTCTGATCCTGGCTTGCAGATGGCTACTTTGCTTTTGTATCGTCACGTGGTAGAGAGAAAGAACTCTTATAGTTCTTATAGGGGCACCAATTTCATCTTGGGGGCTCCTCATTTAAACCTAGTTACCTCAAAAGGTAATACCATCACCTTAGGGGTTACCACTTCGACATATTAACGTTTGGTCCATAACACATTAATGGTGGGGGAAAGATAGTATTACTAATGAGACATGTTTTGATATCCCTAAGAGAAAAAGACATCTCAAAAGGAGTTTAGATTATTAATGGCTTGAATGACTGTAATGTTGCCATTCAAACCTAGGTAAGAGGACAAATAACTCTCAATCTCAAAATTTTAAAAGCTAAGCACCTTTTTTTAAAACCAGTTCCATGTGTTTTAAATGTTTGAGAACTTGAGAGCTCAAAGGCACTGTAAAGATCAGCCAGACCGTCTCCTCACTTGATAAGTGGGGGTGTTAAGACCACCAAAAGCTGAAGCTTTTAGCACATTGCCAGATTGCTGATTACGAATGGATCATGCCCCAAACTGATGGCTCTTTCTCTATATCATGCCTTTACTACCAGCCATTTCAGTATTCCTCGGTGGAAACGCAGTGCATTATTAGGACTGCTCTTCCACCATGACTTATACAGAGGGTAGGTAACATTCCCCCATCATCATCATTCTGTAGAGCCAGCTGGCTGTCATGACGAGGGGCAGATTTTCCACCCACTTTGTTCAGATATAGGGAAACCAAAAATTTAAGTTGCTAGCCAAAGTTCACATAGCTAGAGGGCAGGATAATTCAAGGGAAAGTATGCAAACTTTGAGTAGGTCAGTCTGGATTGGAAGACTTTTCCATTACATTTTAGCTGTATGACCTTGAGACAAGTAGTTCTAATTTCCTAGACTCTCAGTCCCACATTTGTAAAATGATAATAATGTAAAGACAATGTAAGTTAACAGATAAAGTGCCTGGAACATAGTAAGCATTTCCCAGCCCCCAATTTTTTTCTTAGTAGCATATCAAGGATGGCAAACACAGTTCTTACCTCCCTGTCCAGTGTACCCTTTATTACACTTCATGTTGCATAGATAATGTTGTTTTGAACTGAGAATATTAAGTGCATTTTTAAAAGCCTTGTCTTCCAAAATCAATCTCTTCATGTTTTTAATAATGCAAGAAAGGAGATTGAAGTTGGCCCACAGAGATTTTTATGAACCAAGGGGTTATTTTTAATTGGATTTTGTGCCTGTTGTTATGGAAATAGTTGTTTCACAGATTAAGCTTTATGACTTTACTGCAAGATCAAGCCCAGGATGGGGTATAATGATGATATCACCCTTATGCTTTTTTTCCTGGACAAAACACTTTTAAAATTAAGAGGACAGGAGAGAAGCTGCTTCAAAAGCACATATATCTAAAGGGAAAAAAAGATCTCCCCTATAAAAATAGCCTTAAAATGATGTATTCTCTTTTCAAAGATCAAAACTAAGAATGACCCCTGCTGCCAGTAGGAGGCTAAGATTCTGCGGAGTTATTAAACACTTCTTTCTTCACTATTGAAACTAGAAAGAGTTCTTTTGATCCTGGAACTTGCTTTCAACATTTGGTCTCAAAGCATTTTTGTAGTTGGTGAACTATCATGCCTTCTCTAGGTATTTAGTGATAAATCTCCTAAAACTGTTCTACCAGGATGAGTTTAACTTTTCTAAAGCAGCAACAAGAGATGATTTCTAATCTTCGTGACCGCCCTATTTAAAGACATGAGACAGTTCATCCTGCAAAGTTTAGCTTATGTCACTGGCTCATTTTAAGCTCCAGAGAAACCCCGGCCAACAAATATAGACAGTGTATCATCAGGAACACTGTCAGAGAGAGACCAGGGAGCCAGGTGAGTAGTCAGTCTGCAGTACTGGCAGCGAAGGACAGATGACCCCTAGTCCGACTGACTACTGAGGTTCCTTTTGGGTGGTCCCTCTTTGGTTTTCTCTCCTTGTTGGCATTTTGGTATGTTGTCCTATGTTCCTTGGACATAGGTTGGTTTTGTTGATAGAATTTAGTGGAAGAAATTGTGAAGCAAAGCCTGATCCCCAAATCAGCTGAAAGTTATTAAACTCAATGACATCATGCATGTCATTATTTTAATGTGCTGGTAAATCCCATTACTTAAAAAACCAAAATCCATCACCAAATATGAATCTTTAAATCACCAAATACTGTATCTTTAAAAACTTCTCATTATTTTTCTCAGTAAATCATAATGTCAGATTAGTACAAATGCTTGTTTTCTTATACAATTTTTTTTAGTTATACTAAAAAGCTGTTCTCCCTTGCTTTGTTTTTAAGTGGAAGAGGGACATTTGTCTAACTTTGTCCTTTCAAGATATATATATCTTTTATTAAGATGTTTATTTATTTATTTTTAGAGAGGCGAAGGAGAAAGAGAAGGAGAAAAATATCAGTGTGTGGTTGCCTCTCTCACTCCCCCTACTGGGGATCTGGGCCTCAACCTAGGCATGTGCCCTGACTGGGAATTCAACCGGCAACTCTGGTCGGAAGGTTGGCACTCAGCCCACTGAGCCACACCAGCCAGGGCTCCTTTTGAGAATTTTACATAACAGCTTTCTAAGACAAGCTGTTCAAGGCCAATTTAAACTCATTTATCTACAGAATTTAAACCACCATGGATTCACTGGCAGTTATTTTCCTGGTTATACTCCTTGCCCTCTTTCTTCTGGCCCTCGCCCCGGGGAATCCCTACCCTCTACTGCTCTTTAATATCACTTTTGCCCCTGTCCCACTCAATAGTTGGCCCTTTTTTGGCTGTGCTTTCTGTTTTCTTCCCTTTCTTTAAGGGTCAGTACGTTTACCTACACTCATTTCCTCTGCCTCCACTGGAGTTAGCTTTTAGACACAACATTTCATAAGCTTAAGAACTTGGTGGACATTCGGGGAACATGAGACCAGAGGGAAGAGCCCCCCTCACACAGTATAGTACCCAGAGCAGCCTCCTCTGCAGAGTCTAATCAGCCAGGGGCCACTCACTGAAAATGGTTAACTGGTGACCTACGGTCAGATCTCTCCCAGAGTTCAGAGGTTACATGATTGCTGGCTGCTACGTTAGCAAGAGAGTGTTAACTACAAAAATCAGGGAACTCTTCAGAGGGGGTAAAAGTGTGTGTAAATGTAGGAGGCTTCCCAGGACTGTATTGACTGTGCCTATTTATGACAACAGGTTCGTTTGCTTGTCTTAGATCAATGCATAATGTTAAAGATTCTCCTTCAAGTGTCAACCAAAATGTCTGTTAACTTGTTGTTTTCCTTGCTTGCTGTGACTCTAATGGGCTTAAAAATTGATCCAGCCAGTTCTCTTCTCTTCTCTTCTCTTCTCTTCTCTTCTCTTCTCTTCTCTTCTCTTCTCTTCTCTTCTCTTCTCTTCTCTTCTCTTCTCTTCTCCTCTCTTCTCCTCTCTTCTCCTCTCTTCTCCTCTCTTCTCCTCTCTTCTCCTCTCTTCTCCTCTCTTCTCTCTTCTCTTGTATCTCCCCTCCCCTCCCCTCTCCTCTCCTCTCTTCTTTCTCTCTTCTCTCACATTTCTCTTTCTCTTTTTCTCTCCCATTTCCCTAACTTTCCCCTTTTCTTTGTCTCTTTCTCTCACTCTCTGTGAGGTTCATTTGCTTGACTGATTCTGAGTGTCCATAATGACTGTTTGGCATATTCTACAGGCAAAGGTCCCGAGACCCTTTTTGCCGGCTATAACCTCAATGATAACGAATGGCACACAGTGCGTGTGGTTCGTCGAGGAAAAAGTTTAAAGTTAACGGTGGATGACCAACAGGCCATGACAGGTAAACCCCACTGTCCCCATAGCCCTCTCTTTTCTTCATGCTTTAAACTTTCCTGTTTCTTGCAGGTGACTTTGCTGGGTCATATGGTAGCTCTGTTCTTAGTTTTTCAAAGAGCCTCTGTACTGCTTTTGCATCTCGCCACAATGCCAGCTGGTACACTGATATAGATGGGTTCCTAGGACACTCAACTAGCAAGGGAAGCCTGGACTACAAGACCCCCCTCCCCTCCTCCTCACATAAGAAACAAGGAAACTAATAGATATTTTAGAATTCTGTCAGGTGAACTGCTTTTTCCTTATAAGCTATAATAGATCATTTTTTTTTATCATTTACCCCAGTGGTTAAACTGTAAGGATGTCAAGTTCAATCCCCAGTTTGTAGATTCCTAATTAAGGTGAGTCATATGAAATTGACCCCAGAGAACAAAGGGGAGACCCAATGAAAGAGGAATTGATAGGCCCTGATTCTCTCTGTTGAAAATAACTTCAAGCAGATAACCTGCTGGGACATTAGCTCCTTTTCCTTCTTTAGAGAACATCTTCATGTTAATTATTTTAGTTCAAGGCAAAGATGGTGCTTGTGCAGTGGATAAGTGTCTGTTTTACATTCATCCAAGGGGAGTGCTCATAATCAGAGACCAGTCAATTCCGTCACTGTGGGAATATCATGTGTGACATTGTAACTTCTGAGAGAATTATTTCTGGGTTCAGATGAAGCAATCTGCCAGCTCATAGATCTCTGAGATATATGTTTTCTGCATGTGGGTTCCACTTCTCTTTGTTTCAGAACCATCTGAAGAGCTTTAAAAGGACCAATTCTTAGCCTGACCCCACAGGGGTCTGGGGGAGCACAGTTAATTTTTCCTTTAAAATCTCTGGAGGACTCGCATGCATCAGGTCCATGTATTGGAACTGAGAAACAAGTGCTATGATACAGCGTTTTGTTCTCTGAGGGAGGAAAATCAGTCAGAGAACCATGAGCAGAAGTCTCTAATCCAAATTGCCGAGCATGGAACTGTGTGAACCTCCAGAAGGAAGGCAGGATTTTTGCAGGGCTTTGGCCAAAGTGTAAGCTGGTTCAGTCAGAGTCCAGCTAGTTCTAGTCAGAGGCAGTTCCAGGAAGATGAGTGGTTTGGACAATCTGGATTTTGTCAGGATGGGTAGAAATGAGCAGTTAAGGTCTAAGTGGCTCAGGTTTTTTTGAAATGTCATTATCAACAGAACCGAGAAAAGAGCCTAGGTGTCTTCTCTGTTTTTTGATTGTTTGAATTGCAAGAATGCAGTGGCTTTTGTTCTAAATGGGCAAATGGTCTTGGCTGACTCCTGCAGCCCAGTCCAGTCTCCCAATGCTCACCTGACCGATCCTGTCCGAATTCCCGCACCTCGCCAAGGGTGCTGGTTCTCAGTACACCCAAACCCCAGCAGCTTTTTCCTGGTCAGTGGTACCCTCCTTGTTGTCTCTCTCAGTCCTTAAATGCAGTCTGCTCTCTTCTTCTTCCTTTTTGGAACACCTTGAAAATCAGGCCTTAATGAAAGATTGAGGAAGTCCTTGTCTGCCAGCAGCTTCACTTTCTGCCAAGAAAAAGCCTTTGAGGCAAAAGTCTAAGGGACTTGGTGAGCTTCTTAGAACTGAAGGAAGAACAAAATATCAACGTAAATTAGCCTGCCATTTACTTTCTCAAAATCGTCAAGGTCTCAAAGCAGAAATTAGATTCTACCTTCTGTTCTGTAGGAGTTGACATTTTTTTTTTAACAATTGTGGGAATCAACATGCTCTTTCTCAGAATATAAATATTATAGGGGAGTACAAACCTACTCAACATTGATGATTCACCTTAATTATATCTTTTTCTCCCAGTATTCCACTCCACCTCTTTCTTTTTCCCAACTCTCAGCCTCTTGCTGCTCAGAGCTAAAAAAATTACATTTTTTTCCATAGTAATCTCCCTTGACTTAGTGAGTTTTCATCAGGGTGATTTGTGGGATGAAGTTTAATGAAGACCTCATGAAAGCCAAATTATAATGAGAAAAATCAGCTTCAGTTGACACCACTAGAAATGGTTTCCAAAGACAGCAGTGGATGCCATTGAAGCCTAAGTTTAGGATGACATTTTTTTTCAGACACTCTAGTGGCCACTTGAAGCCACCTGTGAATCAGGAAAGCAGTAGAGATGTCTCATTAGGTTTTACAAAAAATCAGAAATCACGGAGCAAGAATATTTTTAAAAAGAAAGCACTGGAGACTCTCTGTGCAAAATCCCACATTTAACCATGTCTTTAGGTTACTGTACACACACGTGTATACACACACACATACACACATATATATATAATATATTATTATATATGTTAAGTCAAGCAGCTGTTGCACACAGGACAGTTCATCCTCAGGCCATCTGGGAATGTCCGACTCTCATTTAGGATGATGGGGACAGCAGTTTGCAGCACAGAAGCCCCCAGTAGGAGAGATTTTTTAGGACTCAGATGAAAAAGGGGTCTGTAAAATATGTGGGGGCCCTAAATGCAGAAGCCTTGGGATTCAACTTGTCACTTAGTCTGAGGAAAGTCTGCAGTGGTGTGTTTTGCGTGTGTGTTTGTGTTAGTGTTTCACTGGACCGTGTTCATCACACACACGGTGACTCTAACCTGGAAGTTGGCCTCGTCATCCTCCCCCTTTCCATTGTTGTCAGCATCGTTAGTAAACTCTACAGGCTGGGTCTGCAGCGTTATCGCATCTTGTCCTCTGTGTTTTTCCATCTGTGCCGTAACCACCCTAGTCCAATCTGTCTCCAATCTCTTGTACACACATATACACACAGAGATTGCACACATGTGTGCACACACAACCCACATGAGCACACGCACACTGACTCATGGCTTCCACTCACATGCTCCAATAGCTCCTAGTGTAACCCGGCAGCACTGAGACGTGTGTGCCTGGCTCTCCGTTCCATCTGATGTGAGCCCCCGCCGCACTTACTCATGACTCTCTAGCCACACTCTCTAGCTCTTTTCTCCTGAGGGCCTCTGACTATTTGCCTCCCCTTCTTGGAATCAGCTTCTCCTATTCTTAGCATGGCTGTCTTTCTTTTTTATTCCCAGCCCCTGTTGCCCATGGCTTTTTCTTTTTTGTCTTTCAAATGTAAGTCAAATACCAACTCAGGTACTTCCCTACCTTTCCTATTTACCAACACAATTCCCTGTTCATCAAATTCCTAATGTTTTTCCGAGAGTTGTCATTACGTATTTAATTGCTTTCTTTCATCTTTTTGTCTGCCTTCCAATGGGCCATAGTTTTGTGAAAACAGGATCTGTGTCTACTCCTCATACCACTATTTTTTAAATTATCTGACACATACCTGTTTCACACACTCAGTAACCTTAAGTGAATTAACAAATTAGTGTCAGTCTGGTGGGTTATTTTGTTCTGTAGCAGATATTTAACCAAACTCTGAGCAAGGCTGAACCTAAAGTAGCTGATCTTGCTATCAGTTTAGGTAAAAAGATTTGATTTAGATACTGACATTTTTATGCAAACACACTATCCAGGGGGGTGTTTTTTATCAGAAATTATCATCAATCTGCTTTACCCCAGACACACTGATCAGAGGCATTTTGCTACATTCAAATTCTCTTTCCACTAAATCTCTGGAAAAGTCAGTGGGTTTTTAAATGGTTGGAGCTTTAAAAATGTTTCTCCTTCAATGTCCTTAATTATTTTTCTTAATCAATATATGTATGCAAGAGTAAAGGTGGCTACATTACTGACAGAGGATTAAACACTCGCATAAATTCTGAGGAAAAAGAGAGTTTTTAAAAGGCAGCTGTTAATGTTTTCTTAGGCAGTGGATAATGGCTTTTAGGTGCTAATTCTCTCCCAGGAGCACGCATGTCTGCCATTACTGTCCATGCAATTTATATACGCTTATTAAAGAAAGAATGGGCTCTTGACCATAGGCCATAATGATTTTTCTTGTAATTGGGCCATGCTTGCATCACCACTGTTTTACCACCTTTTTATTATTTATGCTCTGCGTATATATCCTATTCCTTTGCAAAAAGAAAACGCATTACGAGCTATTTTTATCACTGAAGTACTCAGTCCTCCTAAACAAAATGTGTTTCCCTGTTTCACAGCTGCCAAGAACTTGACAAGTTGGGGTAATATTTAATTTCAAGTATCAGAAATATTTTTCCAGATACTTCTTTTCTATCCATCGTTTCATTAATAGAACTTTCAAGAAGAAACAGGACAATTTCAGAATTGGGGTGGGTTCATTAAGTAAAAGCTCATATTTTCATATCACGAAAAAGATCAAAGTTAACGCAAAGAGGTGGAAAATCTCAAGTAATTTTTAAAGTTTGCATATTTTTCATTCCTTATGGCTTGTTGATTCAATGTTACTGGTATCTCTAGAGCTTTATATTTGAAAATTGTTAAAGGCTAAATTTTATTTGCTACCGAAGAGAGAGTTCCCCACAGAGCAGTTTGGGGGTCATTGAACAAGGAGAACTGAAGGAGGAAGAGATGACATCCTACAAGAAAGCAGAATTGCTAAGGATTTAATCATATTTGCATCAGATAGACAGCCAGGAGACACAGTGGGAAGGAAGGAGGAGGGCAGGCAGCTCAGGACTGTGGTGTTTTTTGTTTGAAATAAAATGTAAATGTTTGCAGAGAGGCTGTTGGAACACACCAGTGACTAAAAAGTGAACATGCCCAGGGTGACAGGAGAGTATGTGTACCAGGATCTAGGACCAGTAAACATGTGTAAAATGTAAGTAGAGTCAAGTTCAGATTAGAGGAGAGATGTTTACCCCCATCCGTTTATAAGCATCGAAGTCAATGAAATATGTAGATAATTTTTCTTGCACAACAAAGAGTATGCCTTTTATACTTTACTTACAGGCATTTCCTTAAAATGCCATCTAATATTTTACTGTCTTGACTAAAGCAATGGAAGCCAGTCAGACTCGTTGAAGGAGGCCTGCAGAGGTGGCTACTCGACCTTCATTACACCTGGGAAGAAGGGCCAGTGAATTTTCTCAGGGGCTGATACTGGGATTGGCTCTAATTAATATTTTCATTAATACCATGGATGATGGGATAGGATAAGCTTGATAAATTTTTCACTTATGCCAAATTGAGTAGTAAATTAGTATCCAGAAGAATTTGACTGCAATTTTAATAACCTGTTTGAGTTTCAGAAGAAAGTGAATGACAGTTTAATTAGACAAGAACAAGATCCTGGGAGGGAATCACTAGCAGTGATAAAGTAGTTTATGCTGTGCTCTAAAAAACAAGTTTTCCTCTTTTTCTTATAAGTTTGTTTTATCTTCAACCACGCAGGTAGGTACAATGATCACTCTGCAGGTAAAATGGGACTAGTCTGGTCTTCAGTGGGGTTGACAAAGAAATGTGGTAGATGAAGAGGATGGGGCCTGATGGATAGTGAACCAGTATGTAAATTTACAGCCAAGTTTCATATTCAAGTGTTTCAAGTCCCAATTTTAATTTTGATAATATGGTCCAGTTTTACTGGTATTCTCAAAATTGGACGTGCCTTGTATTGGTATTATTGTGCTCAGGTTAGTTACCCACAACAGAAGTACAAGGAAAATGGCAGAGGGCAGAGGAGAGCAGCAGAAATTCCAAAGTGGTTGGGAAACGAGTTCTAAGAAAGACTATGGAAATTACTCCATAGTAATTTCTCCAGCACAGAAACATGAAGGTGAAAATGATATACTTGTCTTCAGACACATTTTCATGGCTCTATTGGAAGAATAGACAGCAGATCTTCATTACTTTAATTGGCAATAGGAAAATATAGTCGCTTTTTTTGGAAGAACATTCCTTATAAAGAAAAATATCAGCATGAAGCTACAATATATCACTTTTTACTGGGATGATTTAGGGCAGTCATTGCCTCTAAACCCTTCCTCTACCTTCCTTCCTTCCTTCCTTCCTTCCTTCCTTCCTTCCTTCCTTCCTTCCTTCCTTCCTTCCTCCCTCCCTTCCCCCCCCCCTCCCTCCCTCCCTCCCTCCCTTCCTTCCTTCACCCATCCTCTCTTCCTACCTTCTCTCCTTCCTTTCTCCCTTCCTCCTCTCTATCCTTTTCTTCATTTCTTCCTCACTTCCTTTTTCTTTCTTTCTGTCCCTCCTTCTTAATTTTTCTTTCTCCTTTCCCTTGTCATTACTTGCTTCCTTTTCTTTTTTTTTCTACTTTTTATAAACTGTGTCGCTTTGGCTAACAAAGACAATATTTTTAAGACTAAAATTTGGACAGAGATTGAAACCTGACATAGGAAGTTGTATTACAGTATACAGCCCAGCCCTTTTCACATCACGTGTTTTCACTATATATAATTGAATATCAATGAGGTCTTTGGACTTTTGTATTGTAAAATGTGATGTTATTATGTAATTCCAAAGTTGAGAGTGCCTTCCAGATGCAGAAAATGAGAATGCATTATCCTTCCTTTTAGGTCAAATGGCAGGGGATCACACCAGGCTGGAGTTTCATAACATAGAGACTGGCATCATCACTGAACGACGGTATCTGTCTTCTGTCCCCTCCAACTTCATTGGGCACCTTCAGAGCCTGACATTTAATGGAATGGCATACATTGACTTGTGTAAAAATGGCGACATAGATTACTGTGAGCTCAATGCCAGATTTGGCTTCCGGAACATCATAGCAGACCCTGTTACCTTCAAGACAAAATCGAGCTATGTTGCCTTAGCTACATTGCAAGCCTACACTTCTATGCATCTTTTTTTCCAGTTCAAGACCACGTCCCTAGATGGACTAATTCTTTATAACAGTGGGGATGGAAATGACTTTATTGTGGTTGAATTAGTGAAAGGGTGAGTATGAGTCAGTTCAATGACAAATAAAATTTTGGGAAAATGGACCTCAATTTACAAAAATATACATTAAACAAAATGTATTGGCTTGCAAGGTCATGGGCAGGGGTAGATGCAGGGGAGGGGTATTCAAATAATGTATTCATTTAAATTACTTAAGTATCTTATAAAATTAATAGGGGTGTTGTATAGTCTTTTATACCTACATTTCCATATAGGAAATGAGTTGTTATATGAGATATAAATAACCTCAAGTTCTTATTTATGCTAGGTGTTCCATGAATCTTACAATTCAAATGTTGATTATCTTTCTATTACTATACATACTATATTTTAGAAAAGAATTTCTACACATTTGTATGCTAATTTATGCTATGTTAAACAGATACTTTGAGTAATCAAATTGCTTGAATTTTACAAAATCCCAATGAACTCGTGCTTAATTTCATGCCCAAGTTACTTGAAAATTTAGAAAGATTTCTGTGAAATGTCCTTAAAATTGTGATAAAAGTTTTATGTCATTTAACTGATTTTGTATATCCATTCATTCATTCAGTGAATATTACTGCCTATTTACAATGGAGTTGACAATAATCCAGGAAATACATACATTTCCTTGCCAACCCATACATAGCTCAGATCCCACCAACTCCAAGCCACACATATGCAAACACAACCCTAGGGGATATAAGCAGACACATAAATGGAATAGAAGCACCATGACAAGTTTCCTAAGATGGTCACATGCAAAGGCTTAGGAGAGTGTTTAAGGAACTTAGGAAATGTACAAGGCAGGGAGTGGATGTTAGAGCAGAGACTTGAAAGAGGAGCACACATTTCCTTAGCTGAACAGGCACTGAAGACAGAGAGGAAAGCAGTACGAGAAACTGAGAAGCGCCAGTGCAGTGCATCTGGCAGAGGGAAGAGCGAGGAGCAAAAACAGGGAGTGAGGAGTGCGAGGTGCACAGGCTCCAGCGGAAGTAAGGCCTGCTCCACTCTGGGTGGTAGGGTGATAATATAGTTGTACTAATTTATACTTTTAATTTGAGCATCTCACCTAAGATGTCATAGGGTGTGCTTAAGTATGATATTGTTATGTTACAGAATTACATGCTTATGATTTTGTAATAAAAGATTTTGTAATACACAGAGGTTTTATTTATGCCAGACCCTGTATAACTTCCAAAATCAGACTGCAGACCATGCTTTCAAAAATTATTTTCAGTGTTCCTTATAGTGAAGATAACAAAGAGTCCTCCTCAGTGACACAGAATAGTTTCTTAGCTTCTTGTTTGCTGAGCTTCTGTACAACTCACTCATGACTTCTACCAAGGATGGAGTTGCCTAGAAAAAATTTCCCATTTCTAATATCTAGTTGGAATCCACCAAAATTTAAAAAGTGAATGCATTTCCCCACCTTTTCTTTTCTCCCCAGGTACTTACATTATGTGTTTGATTTGGGAAATGGTGCTAACCTCATCAAAGGGAGCTCAAATAAACCTCTCAATGACAATCAGTGGCACAACGTGATGATATCAAGGGACACCAGCAATCTCCACACTGTAAAGATCGACACGAAAATCACAACGCAAATCACCGCAGGAGCCAGGAACTTGGACCTCAAGAGTAAGTGCACAGAATCAGAGTAACAGACATGAACCCACAGGTCCCCAGTCACCTGGCAAATCTTTTGCTTTGGGGGAGGGGTGGGGGTAGGGGTGTGTACCTTCTGCAAAAAACTGACTAGGACTTCATTTCCTGCACATAATTAATAATACAACACAGAAGCTTCTGTTCCCCCTTTAATGTGACAGAAACATGCATTTTAACAGCAGTTCAAAACACGTCATGTCTAAGAACTGTCATGATTAAGTTTTAAAGAATGAGAACAATGTTCTCCTATTTGACAGTATAAGGAAAAATAGGCATTTGCAAGTTTCTTGAGTCCCAACAGTTTCAATCCTTGTAGAGTCAAGGTAAGCAGAGACATAAGGAGTTGTTTGTTTTTAATTATTGTTCAAGTACATAAGGAGTTTCTTCAAGAACTTAGTAGTTTTCCTTCCTTGGTGAGGTTTCCCAGGGACTGACAGACCCTCGGGCCCGCAGGGCTGAGCCTCCAGCAGTGAATGCTCCCACCGCACGCACATGGGTGGGAATGTTTCTTTTACCAGATTCTGAGAAAGTCTTAGGAGACTTTTTTTCCTTATCAATACTTGATTTCTCAAGTGAGCAATACAAACTACTTAGAAAACATGTTCATAATAGGAGAAAATAACAGAAGTTCGTATTTGAGTGGGCCTTTGTGAGTTACTAAGAATGTATCTTGCACATCCCACCTCACCTAACACTACCACAAGCATTGGGCAAGGTGGTGTGAGCATTTCATTAAGAATGTAGGAAACTTGAGCTTGGAATGACTTGTCCAGGGATAAAAATTCTGCTACAGTTGAGTAAAGACATGACCCCAGTTCTGACCCACGGCCCTCCATTGCTGCTTCTGCTCTGTCCCGATGCATTCTGTTGTCCTACAGGGACCACGGGGGTCACGTTTGTGCTTAGAAAGAGCTGCTTATTTATGCTGATGGGATTTTTCCCTTTGATTAAAAAAGAATATACTTGGGGGTCAGAGCTGGGGGAGCTAGGGAACTGGAAAGAGAAAATCCAACAGAAGTCTTTTCAGAGAAAATGCTCTTTCTAAAAAGGAGTAAAGAAGAAAGAAAAGTGTTTCACTTTCTGTAATTGCAGAGTTTATTTGCAATCCCAGGACCCTATTTGTCCAACATCTAAGCTGTGCAGTATGGATGTCCCTCTTCTTTCAGAGTGGGCCTCTTGTAAACTTCAAAGACATCTTGTTTGTGCCCACAAATCTAATAGCTTAGCTCAAAAAGTAAAATGAAATTTCAAGGCAATGCTGCTTGACAGTCAAAACCTCTTCCTTGTTTCTGACGGAAGTGAATAGAGCACATTTTCTGCCCCTGAGCTGTGGGTGCCCCAGTTTTGCACAGCAGGCTCTGGTAGGACCTGTCTAGGGAAAAGGAGGGATACTGGGACGTTCAGTGTTGGCCAAGACGGCCGCCAGTGCGAAAGCCAAATGCTGTCCCATTTGCATAGGGAGAGGCCTCGGGGAGAAAATGTGAGCTTCACTAGGAACCCTGACACTCTGTCAGAGACTAAAATGGCTTGCAAGAAAGACGTTCATGGTCGGTGGGGTGGAAGTAAGTGACCCGCAGAGACCTGCCCGTGATTGGGGGACGCAGAGAAGCAGGGCATGGCAGGGAGTGATACCTCGTTGGACAGTGAGGACACTGTCCTGAGAGGTCAATATTTGTTTATTGTTCATTAAAAAAAGAAGTGGGGGTGATAGGCGGTTGAAGTATAGGGTTGCTTCTGGTGGGGTAGGAAAGATCTTTTAAAATGTAGGTTCTCAGAACTGAATTTTATTAAAACATTGAGTGTTTCATGACTCTGAATAGATAAGGAGTGCTTTACCCATGATGAGAAATAAAAACTAAAACTAAAACTATGAATTGAAAATAGCATATTATATGTTAGTAAGATAATAGGTTTTGAAATTTGAGTGCATTTGTGTTAAAAAAATTTTGATTTGAGGTGCGTCTCTCAGGAAATTAAAGAGATTCTTTAGTAACGACTTTTACCTCATGAAGTTCCTTGTGTTTAGCACGTATCAGACTGTGCCAAAAGTGAGAGCGAGTTCCTGAAATTATAAATTAAAAGTCAAAGCTCTGTGCTTGTAAATTAGATGTGTGACCCAATGCCAACAATGACCCCAAAGATGGCTCTGGCCATCTGTGTCATTGCCAAGAGGGCAGCATGGCCCTGGGGCAAGGCACCTCCTAGCTTGGATCATCACCGCCTTTGAGCATGTGTGAGGATGGTGTTGGTAGGATGACCAGTATTTACAGAGCGCTTACCGTGTGCTGAGTAGAGAGCACCGTTGGGAAGAGGGCACTGGGGCTCCCGTAACGAAAAGCTTTCTTTCCCTTGGAGAAGACTGAAGTTAAGGGAGCACTTGAAGGAAATCCCAGCCCTGGCCACTGTGGCTCAGTTGGTGGGGGCGTTGTCCCATGACCAAGAGGTTGTGTGTACGACCCCCGCCCCCGCACCCTGGTCCAGGCCCCATAGGGGGGAAACCAACTGATGCTTCCCTCTCTTCCTTCCTTTCTCCCTCCCCCCCCTCAAATCAATGAAAATATGTCCCCACGTGTGGATAAAGGACACAAAATAACATGGTGCCCTGCCAAGGCATTGAAATTAATCCGAGGGTAACAGGAAGACTTTTAGAGAATGTTTAAGGGATTGCTGAAGGATGCGCAAGAGCAACTACTCATTGTTCCTCCTTCCTACCTGGATGCCCACCGGAATTACGGGGGCTTATTCGTACAGGGACTTCTCCCTCCGAATTGAACAGCACTGCTGTCTTAGCACGCTAGACAGGTGGAATTCAGCCATTCTAAATACAGGAGAAATGAAAGCTGACGTATCTTGGGTCAGTGCTTTCCCTTCATGTATATTTTGCCCAAGAACTGTATCTGTATAGGATTAAAAGGAAATGATCAGATTCATTCTACACTCCCTTGAAGTCACGGCAGCAGTCTTTCAGTTCTTCTCACGTGAGATCCATCAACTTACCCACATCTGGGTCAGGTGGTGAGATTTATGAAGAGCAGATGTCGGGACCCCAGTGCAGACAGACCAAGGCAGTAATCATTTGAGAGTGATGTGCAGGGAACAATTGCTGCCTGTATTTTTAAAGAGCACTTGCTCATCAAGACACTGTGTTTTTCAAAATCCAGAAAAAAATGCAACATCTATGTTGAGGCCAAATTTAAGTTGCATTTTAATTTTAGTACAAATCCTGCTTTTGCCTTCTTGTCCTAAGAATTTTACTTTTGTTTTGTTTTGTTCGGTTTGGTTTTACCAGTCCTGGGCTGAGGTAACATTGGATGCCTCAGGATTATTTCGTTTTTATTTCTCATGCTACCATCCCTTAAAAAGACACTAGAGGGCAGCATATGGCCACAAAACTTGCCATCGGAGATTCAGGAGGGGGAAAAACCTCAACAGGCTCCTCCTGTGCTAGGAAGCAGAATTTCTTTGTTTTCCACCATCCCAGATCCCCGTTAGCCTTTATAATCATGCATGATTTAGTCTGTGGCTCTGTTTCATTATATATAACAGACCTCACTGTAGACATTTGAAAGCTAGGGGAAAGGTAGCCCATTCCCCATCCTGACTTCCAGACATAGTCAGAAATGGACAGCAGTTGAATGATCTTTCTCTGAGAAAGAGAATTCTGTGCAAGTGACCTTGTTCAAATTATCTTTCATGACACTGCCGGGTTCTCGGGGAGTTGTGTGTCTCTCCCTGCTGACACAGTTTTGCTTTCATCTTTATTTCCCAGCTGTTTGTACTCTGTTCCCTCTGGCTATTATGTACAAGCTGCGGCATGCCATGAAGAGAGCTGCATAAATTTGCTCTCTGGAATGAATTTCTGGCACAGCTGTACTTCATCGTGGGACTTCTGAGTCCTGCCCCCTTCAGAGAGATAAAGGGTCTCTGTAATGCTTCCTTATGTCCCTTCCCGTTTATATTTGGCAAACGTATGTGTTTGTGCATGTTTGTATGTAGTATATAGTAACAGCCTAATGTCTATTGATTCCCTATTAGATGCTAAGTAGATTTAAATCAGGTTATTTTATTTAATCCTAACAATTACTCAGGGTTTGGAATGGAGGTCAGTCTTGCTCATTCATTAATCTAGTTCAAGAACAAAGATAAAGAGGAAGAATCATATTTGGCCTCTGTCTTCTATGGATATCTTTTTTATAGCATTACTTGTTTATCCTTCAGCAAATTGAGGATAATTTATTTAATGGGGATAAAAAATAAAGATTTCTTGGTGACTACAATGCAGTGCCTTCAGGTGGCCAGCCATTTAGCAAAACTATTTAAAATTGAGTAATTCCTTTATAGGCCTCATCTGGGTCCGCCCAGGCAGAGCTTGCCCTTTGCTTTTCCTCTAAGAACTCAAATTCTTTGCCCCCACAAGGGCTCTGAGCTCTCCCTCCATCCCCCATCTTAGCTCTTCCCTGGTCATCGATGACCATTATCTGCTACTGAACCTTCTTATCCTTCCTTAAATCTACCTCGAAAGCAAATACCTGCTCTTGTTTATCATGCTGCCAAGCCACTACATTCCCCTAATCAGAGGGGGCCCAACCAGAGCTTTCCTTGCAAATGTATTAAATCTCTTAGCAAAAATTGAAAGATAAATGCAGGCATACCTCCCTCAAGGGTGCAGGGATGTAGCAGGGTTTGTTTTATGTATGTATGTGTGTGTGTGTGTGTGTGTGTGTGTGTGTGTGTGTATTTATTTACTTTGTGATTGTAGGCAAGACCCTCCCCGCCTGCAAAAATGATTATGCTTGGCTTTCTTGCCTTGTTCTGAAACCCAACCCGCAATGCCTCTAAGCTTTGCCTGTAGTGTTCTTGCTCTCTTCATCTTGCTCACACTAGCGTCTATTACTGTTACCCACCTGCTCAATTCCGAACATAACACCCGTGCCCCCGTTTTCTGCCCCTCAGGGTTGCTATCTGACAAATCA